ATATTATATTATATTATATTATATTATATTATATTATATTATATTATATTTATTATATTATATTTCAAATCTCTTTTGTTCCTGGTAGACCTTCAAGTCTATGCTACCTAGAGTGCCTTTTGGAGCACAAAACGCAAACTAAACAGAAGTCCTGAGCCAAGATCTCAGAATATCAAGCAAAGCATAAGGCACCAGAATATAGTGTCTAGACAGCCACATCGGAGACCTTTCAACAGTAATAAGCTTTCATTGATCATCATTGAGAAGGAAGCATTTCTTAGTGCTGAGTTGAGAGAGCAGGTAAAGGCTGGTGGAAGGGGAAGTAGCTAGTCAGCTGGATAGGAATATCTATAGGCTGCTTTGTCACAGGTATTCCATGTCTCTCACAAAAGATTGAAACATATATATCGTGGTAGATTTTTTTTACTCTTTTGTTCTTATGTAGTTCCTTTGCTGAAGTTCACAGTTTGTGAACTCACAGTTCTCACAAAACTTACAACTTACATTTACTCATGCCCTGGTAATTTCCTGGTTGGATTACTACAATATATCTGTATGGGGCTGTAAATAGAAATTACAACCAGTCCAGAATGTTGTGGTGGATGTACTTCTGGGCAGTCCATGGTTTGCCCATATTACACTGCTGCTGCAAGAGCTGTACTGGCTTCCATTTTTTTCCCAGTGCAATTCAAGGTAGTGGTTATCACCTTTAAAGCCATAAATGACTTGAGGGCAGGTTATTTGCAGGACCACCTCTCCCTGCCCATTCCACCAGGTTAGATATAATGGGCACACTCCAGGTCCCTTCTCTTAAATGTCATCTGGTGGGACCTAAGAAATATGTCTTCTCCATATCTGCCACTGCCCAGTAGAATACCCTTCCTCCTGAGACCCAGCAGGCCCCTACTCTCCTGGTCTTCCAGATGTCTTTGAATAGCTGGTTCTTCCTACAAGTGTTAGGGTAGAATGAGGCTGGAGCCCAACAAGGTTGAATGCTGATGTCTGAGAGAGTGTTACCCTAGGGTGCTAGGAATTTTTATTGTAACTGTCTGGATTTTTGATGTTTTTTATTGTTTTATGATCCACTCAGGATTATGGTTCAAAATATGAGCAGTTATATAAATCTTTTAAATAAAGAAAGTTGAGTGCTTATGTGGGGTGGGGTTGGGACATATTAGAAACTGAACTGTGCAACTTATGATCAAATAATTTATCTGAAATTGTTTCATTTGTTGTTAACTTTTAGGTTGTGTCTTATAGATTTGGCTGGTTGAACAGTTTGGGGGCCTTTTTTTTATAAGAGACAGCTGAGAGTTGCTGCCCCTGGCTTGATTTATTAGATTCAATGCTTTAATTAAACAAAATCATGTTCGTTGCATAGTAAGAAGATTAGTAAAACTAGTATATATAGTTAAGCATCCAAGACAGTTCTTCAGATCGTTTGCAGTGAAAACATTTGATGAACTATTTACAGTTTCAGAAGTGCAGAGTTGTGAATAATTAGAGGTAAAAAGTTTTTATTACTGCTGAATATAAAATGTATACATGTCTACAATGACTTTTTAAATTTCTTTTTCACTACATGCTCAGCAAATGGAAATAATGAACACACTTGTGTTTTTCATAGGTACAATGGCTGCCTCCCTAATGGTGACCGGGGTCGTAGGAAAAGCAGATTTGCGCTTTATAAAAGACCTAAAGCAAACGGTGTCAAACCTAGCACTGTTCATGTGATTTCAACACCTCAAGCATCTAAGGTATTGTCACTAATTCTCAGAGTTTGGGAGGTAATGCTGACTTTTGCAGAGCAGCAGTGATTGAATGTTTTTAGGTAACTACATGTCCTTCAGTGGTTATCTCTTTCTAGTGCTGGAAGATATTTTTGCATTGAGAATACTTTATTGGCTCTTTGAGTACAATGATGCTTGTATTCACAATTCTTTCATCTTGGCTAATAAATAGAGGTTGACAAAATGTTTCAAATCTGCAACTTCTGAGCTCGAATGTTCTTTAAGCTCTAACATTCTGTTTCTAATTCACACTAGCTGTTTGATCTTATTGGAAATATCCAATCCTATTCCAGTTTTCCAGAAGTTGTCCAGACTCAAAGAAGTGCTGTTCCAAAACAAAACATTGCCCACCCATTTGAAGGGATTTGTGGCATTTCGAGTCTCAGAACAACTGTGGAATACTTTTGGCAAAGTCAGAACAAAACCTGTGTTGAACTTAAAAAAAATTGGTTTTGTTTTTTAAATGTGATGTTTCAAGCTTGAAATATTTCAAATTTAAAGTGCTTTACAAATAACTAATAATAAAGTCAGATTTTTTGGGGGGGTTACTGAAAAATGTCTTTATGATTGATGCAAGTGTTTAAGAAGGAATAAATCTCATATCTCTTGTTGCTAGCTGATCTTTTATGGTAATATTCTTAAGGAACAGTGTTTTTTTTTAAAGGTAATCTTACAGTTTACTGTTTCATCTGTATTTCTAAGGTCATGATTGATACACTTTTTCCTTTTTATACTTTTTCCTTTTATATATAAAGGCCATTTGGGCTGGGACTCAGACAACAGATAATATTCAGTGGGTTTATGCAGAACTTTGGATTCAAAGCCAAATGATGCTTTGGAGTCTGTGAGAGCACACACATAACATGTGTCTACAATTCCTTAAACCAAGCATGTCTTTTCCCAAGATCATACTGAAGCTGTGGAAAGCAGCTGTGCATCTGTAAAAAGATGCAGCTACCTTAAGGAATTGTAGTCAGGTGTGATGTCCACTCCCCTACATGCTTTGAAGCACCTTTTTCCTTTTGAATCCAAACTGCTACATAGTCCCAGCATCCATTATCCATAAGATAATGTCCCAGAGATATTTATACTAGTACTGAAAAAATCCAAGCCATTTTGGCATACATTCAGTTCTGTTGTTATACCCACAAACAAAATATTTTCAATTCCTTCTATAGATAGCCATTTTAAATACATGGTACATTATAAATATATTGATTGTTACAAGTACAAGCAAATACTAAACTCTTCTAAATGAAGGGGGCACTGTAGACATGACATGGAGCTGCTGCTGCTGCTGCTGCTGCTGCTGCTGTTATTATTATTACTATTCAATTTTATACGCCACCCATCTCACTATATAAATGACTCTAAGTGGCTTACAAATAAAAGAACTATAAAAACTTACAAAAATATACAAAGCTAAAAAAGCTAAAAAGGCGGAGAGAGCATCCTCAAGCTACCAACCGCCCCCAGTGCTGCGAACTCCCAGTGGGTCCCTGTGTATGTTGGCAGAGCCAGGTCTGCT